GRWWAWKKTTTTTTWAAGGTTTGACCAAAATGACTAACTTTGTTTTTTATCCTTTTTCCACATAAGATTCTTCATTTAAAACCCTGGCATTCATTCATTCTTCAATGCWAGGTCTTTAAGCTGTAGTATTAATGGACCAGACTGCCCTACCTCAATACAACCAAAGCAACTAAACACCTTTAGATTGTGTCAAAAAGAGGGAAAGATAATCCAACATTAACCWATTCTGTTGGTCTTTAGGTGACTGAGCTGAAGTCAGAGCTCAAACTGCGTGGCCTCCCAGTGTCAGGAACAAAAACAGATCTGATAGAAAGACTGAAGCCTTTCCAGGACATCACCACTCCTGCTGCTACCACCGCCTCCTCCATCGCCATGGAGGTCACCCCAACTACAGCATCTGCTATAGTTCTTCCAGTCCAGAAAGTGGTGTCGGAGAGCAAAAGCTCTACGCCGCCTGTCTCACCTGTTCCCATCGACCCAGCTCCCCTCCAGCTGGATGTGGGTCTGTGTGAGKCTCCAGCCTCTGCTGGGCCACGCTCCTCCCCTCAGCCACCTTTTCAAGTCCCTGAGGAGAAAGACAGGAGGCTGCATGAGAAGGAGCGTCAGATAGAGGAGCTGATGAGAAAGCTGGAGCAGGAGCAGAGACTGGTGGAGGAGCTGAAGATGCAGTTAGAGGTGGAGAAAAGAGGTCAGGTGGACTCTGTGTCTCCCATCAGCGCCTTTCCTGCTGTCCTCAACCCAAACGAGGTGAAACTGGAGGCAGCTGTCCTGTCAAACTGCTCGTCCAACACGCCCGCCATCCCAAACTCAGTCCCAACGCCCCGGCCCACCGTGGTCAAACTGGAGGATATGACTGTTTCTGCAGGCAAGCCGCTGCATCTGCAGACCCAAACCCAGCTCATCACACAGCTCCAGCCTCAAGCTAAACCCCCAGTAGCCTCCAGCCCGCAGCTCTGCCCTCAGTCCCAGACAAGTCCCCAAATCCAGGCTCAGCCTGCAGCCTCTGGCCTCCAGCAGTTTTTTATCAGCCACCCTGGTGGGGTGTCCCAAGTCCTGGGTCAGCCTCAGACGCTGCTGACGACCGGCCAGGCTGGAACTCAGATCCTCTTCCCCGTCTCACTACCCAACAACGCTACCGCGATCCAGCTGCCCAGCACCACCGTCAGCCTGCAGGTAGGACCGGTCTGACTACTGAAACACACGTCTAAGTGTTAACAGGGTCAGAAACAGGACCAGCAGTCTGATAAACTGTTTTATACTTTTATTCAGCCTGTTCTTCAGGCCACAGTCTCAAATCCAGGTCTGAATCAAGCTTCAGTTCCTCAGCTGCAGACCACTAAGGTGGAGATGACAACCAACCAGCAGCCGCTGCTACAAGTCAGTCGTATATTTATATCTACAGTATATATTGTTTAATGAATTTGACAGTTTGACTTTTTATTTTTTCAAAAAGCCATATTTTTGTGTATATTTTTATACACAAATATACTATCCGTATCGAGCCTTTTAATACAGTGCTTTAGGTTCAATACACACTTGTATCGAACAATACAGATTTTTTAAATTTATAAACAGGGTTGCACGTAAAATTTTTGGTCTGGTTCTCAGGGGAGAACCTAGGGTTGTTGCTTGGTGCTCATATTTTCCTTCACTCATTTAACACATTTATCTTGAGGGGCGTCAGGGCATCTAACCTCCCCCTGTTCTGTTTTATGACTCCTATCAGCTGCAACGTCTCAGGACATCATGCCAAATCAGTCCAACAAGTTTTT